ATACACACACACACACACACACACACACACACACACACACACACACACACACACATTCTTTTTCATATTCTTTTCCATTATGGTTTATTACAGGAAATTGAGTATAGTTCCCTGCACCATACAGTAGGACCTCGTTGTGTGAGGCCACCAATTCTTTAGGCACTCAAAGTATTCACAGTGCAATAAATTGAGTCTTTAAATTACTAAAGACATTTTTTAACCAGCCCGAAACGGCAGTAGTTCAGCCTGTGAGGAAGCCCAGCACTCTGTAGGGCATGCATGCAAAGCACTGAAGTGACGTCTCCCCGCTTCTCCTACAGATAATGAGCTGCACGGTCCAGGGAATCACACCCCAAGTAACGCAAGCGATGGACCCGGAAAGAACACTACCATTAACAACGAATTTGACACTGTCGTCTTGCCTGGGCTTTACCTCGTTATATTTGTGGCAAGCATCTTGCTGAACGGTCTAGCAGTGTGGATCTTCTTCCACATTAGGAATAAAACCAGCTTCATATTCTATCTCAAGAACATAGTAGTTGCTGACCTCATAATGACGATGACCTTTCCGTTCCGAATAGTCCACGATGCAGGGTTTGGACCTTGGTACTTCAAGTTTATCCTCTGCAGATACACCTCGGTTTTATTTTACGCCAACATGTATACTTCCATCGTGTTTCTTGGGCTGATAAGCATTGATCGCTACCTGAAGGTGGTAAAGCCATTTGGCGACTCTCGCATGTACAGCATAACCTTTACAAAGATTTTATCTATTGGTGTCTGGGTGCTCATGGCTATTCTGTTCTTGCCAAACATCATTCTAACAAATGGTCAGCCAACTAGGGAAAATATTCATGAGTGCATGAAACTTAAGAGTCCTTTGGGAGTGAAATGGCATAAGGCCATCATTTATGTCAATAGCTGCTTGTTTGTGGTTGTGCTTGCGATGCTGATAGGATGTTACATAGCCATATCCAGGTACATCCACAAGTCCAGCAGGCAATTCATAAGCCAGTCAAGCCGAAAGCGAAAACATAACCAGAGCATTAGAGTGGTCGTGGCTGTGTTTTTCACCTGTTTTCTACCCTATCACTTGTGCAGGATTCCTTTTACTTTTAGTCACTTGGACAGACTTTTAGATGAATCGGCACACGAAATCCTATATTACTGCAAAGAAATGACACTTTTCTTGTCTGCGTGCAACGTGTGCCTGGATCCAATAATTTACTTTTTTATGTGTCGCTCATTCTCAAGAAGGCTGTTCAAGAAATCAAATATCAGAACAAGGAGTGAGAGCATCCGATCACTGCAAAGTGTCAGAAGATCAGAGGTCCGCATATACTATGATTATACTGACGTGTAGGAGTTACAGGCCACAAGGCCTTCTCTTGTTTGTCGAAGTCAATATGTACAAAGTGTAAATAAATTTGTCTTTTGATTACCCTCGCTTGAGCCCATCGAAATATGGATGAAAAGAGAACTGAAATGATATGAAATTGGGGTATAATTTGGAACTGAGAAAAACATTAAGGCATACCAAAAACGTGAAATTAACAAGAGGTGGTGTGTCGCTGAGTGGCAGGGATCATGGCTCAAGGTTGAAGGAGCAGATTACAGGTGCAGAAAAGGCCACAGCAATGCCAGCACACTGCAGGAAATGCTTCCAGGAAATGCTGGTGCTCTGAAGCCACTTCTGAGAGAAGAGGAAGTAGAGAGAACTCTATCTAACCTTGACCCCTAAGATTTGGGAAAGAAAATGCTGTTTTCAACACAGCTCATTCACTGCAGATGTAACTGAGTAAATATGGATTTCTAGGTCTTTCTGTCATTGTACCTATGGCCCATACACAACCTTTAGCCATTATCCCCTGTCTGTGTTTATTTATGTCTTATGCACGTGAGAAAAAATTGCACAGTGCCGGGGGGCGGGGGTGGGCAAGAAAGTTCAACTGTGTTTTTTTTAAGCAACGCATTTGAAAGGCTTAAGTCAATTAACTGATTTTAAACTTAGATTATTTCAGAGAAAAAAAAAAAGTGTGACCAAAAAAAAAAAAAAAAAAAACGAGTATTAAGACAAGCAGATTTGGGATAAAACACTCTGAACTTATGTTTGACATTATTATACCCTATGCTGCGTTTGAATCCTCCTGTACTAAGGGTAGAGAAGAGAATGTGAAGGCTTGGTTAATAATCAAGTATATATAGTTTATTCAAAAGCCACTTAATAGTCCTTATTTTAGAAAAACTAGAGTTTTAAAATAGTCTTCCTTTTGAGCTATATTCCATCATTAATAGGGATATCATTCGTTTAAAAGTAACACCTTCAGTTGAAGAACTGAGCTCAATAAATCAAGTCAAAAAAGACTGAGTAGCTTTTAAAATCTTAGAATAGTTTCTGCTTCAATATAAACCTTTGAGCCTTCCTTCTTTTTCAAAGCCTTCAGCTGCTTGACCACCGACTAGATGCCTGATTTGCTCCTAACACTCAACAAGGAACCAGGGGAGCATTAAAAGAACAGGAGTGAAGGCATGTTTGCTGAGGAAAAGGGAACATTACCGGTTAACGGAGACAAAGCAGACATACACATGCAAAACAGTACGATATTTTATTTAGACTCTTGTAAACGATCTGCCTGTGAAATTCTAAAAAGCTAAAATGAGCAAAAAAGAAGTCAAATATCCCACTCAAAAGTGATACTACCCACTTCCCTGTGTATGTGTGTGTGTGTGTGTGTGTGTGTGTGTGTGTGTGTGTATTCTGTTAAAGGCATGTTCACCTTAGAACCTAAAAACTAAGAACCTACCATCTTTAATAGCATCACATGGCTCCATTTGGTGCTCTGAAATTTACCAAACCCCAGACTTCATTTAATCCTCTGAAATTCAGGCCTCAGTCTAAGAGGTCCTTAAAATATTTCAATCCCACTTTCATGTTGCTAAAATTGGATTGCTGTAGAGTTAGTGGGTACATTTTATGTAAGGGTGGATTTATTCTCTGAAATTACATGATTAAATCAATGGGACATCTTAAAACATTGACTTAGGAAAAAAATAGAAAGGATTATCCCTATTTTCTTAAAGCTATATTACCAAAACATCAGAATCATACTGCTTGTTTTTTACACCAATGCTCACATTGTGGTCACAAAAATTACTTATCCAGGCCAACCAAGAATGAATCATTTATATAACTAACATAATATCAACAGGAATAGCATAAAATATTGTGCTGGTGTCATAAGTTAATACAAACTACTGCACTAATACTGAAGGAAACAAGAATTCTATTTGACTGGTTTTTAATTAATTGATAATCTGGAAATAAACTTGAAATCTAAAATTTCCTACATGGAGCCTTTGGATTATATTCAATATTTCAGGACCCTCTTAAGGCAGCTATAAATAACAAAGTTATTCTTTATTTTATGCAAATGAGAAACATATTCAGATACTTTCAAAAAGAAATTTTTCTATTACTCATAAAACTTACATGCAGAGAAACTGACCTAACAGAAAATCTTCAGTGGATTACTAACTCTGTTATATTCATTATACCATTCATACCATTTTCTTCTCATTTCCAAACAGTATACCAGAATTTTGTTTCTCAACTAAAGCTTCAAGGGAATGGTAACAAGGAAAATCCATAAATGAAGGTAAATAGCTAAGCCAAAATTGTGCATAGAGACAGTACCACCTAAACCACAAATTTTATGATCACTTTGGAAAAATGTGATATATAAGAAAAAAATAAACAAAAAAACAAGGGCAAAATAAAGCTTGGAGGTCACTTAAATCTCATAAATAGAGAGTTTTCTCCCAGACAGAACACTGCAAGAAGACAGCTATCAAATCAATAAATACTTACTAGGCACATACCATGTAAAAAAAAAAAAAAAATGTCTAACATTATATTTACAATAATCTTTGGCTATATCTAAGTAAATTATAAAAGTAAATATTTCTTAAGATCAAACATTTTCAAATTTCAACATAAACATCTGGTAGATGCTGACTTAGCTCCCGTCTCCAGCCCTCTAGCACCATCTAGTGGTAAAATTCATGAACCAACTGAAGAAAACGACTCCTGTCCTATTTACAGCTTGCGGCCACTGACACAATAACAGGGCCTAACCCTCCCCCAGCTTAACCACCATGTTGTGTTACCTCTTGTCCCAGGCGTCTTCCCCACCCCCACCCCCCCCCCCCCGCCGAGTATTCCGTCAGTCATCTCTAATGCTAATGTACACCAAAAACAGTCCTGGAGCTGCCCAGACAAATGTGTGATGGAAATGTTTAAAAAAAATAATACCTTTAAGAAATTATCTTACAGATGTTAAAAGAACTAAAAAGGCTGCAACATACATGGATTTCACAGGCTGTTCTTTCTTGACATACAAAAAAATTTTAATTAAATATAAAATGATTTATTAGAGTTTATTTGAGTTGAAGAAGGAGGAATAAGGTTGTCAGTGTTAAAATTTTTAATGTATCAAGAAATGCATGGGATTCAAACGGCAACTTTTATTTTGAATATTCTAAAGTTTTTCTTATAAGCTACAATAACAAGAAATCATCTAAAATGATTTTTATAATGGTGTAATGTGGCTATTAGACCACCTATCTTTTCTTCTCCTCATTTGAAAACGCAAGATATGGAACTAAACTGGAAATTCCTTTCTTTCAAACAGCTTCATTGGCAAGCGTTCTTGATAAAGTGGACAATTTCTCTTTGAATAATGCCAGAGGATATCCACTGGTTGCAGCAGTTCTCAGAAACGAGCCACACATCTGATTAAATCAGCCTAGCTTATGAACAAGAAGCTAGAATTAGTCACCAGATTGCCCAAAGCTTCCAAGTCGAAGTTTAGGTTTAAATGTTATAAACAAGACTTTCCAACAACACTCTATAGACATGTTTACGTGGACACACATATAAACACACAGCATGTATAACGAGGGCTAATAGATTTAGTATAACAAACATGACTCAGCTCCTTAACCTATGATAGTTTTCAAATAGTCCTTAGAAACAGACCTTGAACATCCCACCCCATGCTTGTTACTACTATAGCCCAAACCAAAATACTTTCAGTAACAGTGAAGCCATCTGTGAAGTATCCAAAATAAATATCTCTGTGTTTCCTCAAAAAGCCTGAACCATATCACCAGTGTCTTTAGATTTTTATGTGCTGTTTTATGCAGCTAGAGAAATGCCACCATTAAACACAATGGAAAAATGAATAAATAGATAAGGACACGAATACTGGGCAGAACACTTACATGATATAAATTTGGAATCATCTAGATCAGGGCTTCTCAACCCCATCAAACCCAATGCACTCTTTCTGTGGGATTATATGTCAACCTATTTTTAGTACAGTGATATGAACGCCAGACATAATATAACCTATCTACACACACACACCTCACTTTGCGTGGTAGTGTGGGACCATAAAAATATGGACTGCATCGCTTTCTCTACCTCATCCAAGGAGGCTCCTTAACCCCTGAACTCGATTAACAGCATCACCATCCACCCAGGCACCTGAACTGGAAATTCGGAGTCATCCTATGACCCCTCTTTCCCTCACCCCTAT